CCCCCCCCCCCCCCCCCCCGACGGGGCGCACAGGGCCTCTTTGTGTGCGGGGCCCCCTCCCCGCATCCGCACAAAGCGCTGATTGTGGAGCGGGTGGGGGGGAGCGGAGCCCCCAAAAGGCGGCGGGGTTGGAGGGGGGGGCTCGCACCCCCGGGGGGTTCAGTCCGGGCCCAGACGTGACTCAGCCCCGCGGGGGGGGCACGGGGCGCTCAATGGGCGCTTTGTCTGTGCCGGCACAGGGGTGGATAAGGGCCCGCGCCCCCGGGGGGGTGCAGAGGACGGGCACAGCTCAGTGCAGCGCAGGAGGGGCGCGGGGGAGGAAGGGGGGGGCTATAGCAGCAGCAGACCCCCGCCTGCCCCCCCCCCCTCCCGGGGTCGGAGCTATTTCCATGGGAAGGGGCTAAAAAAAGGCCTCAGCTGTGGGGGGCGCGGCCGCAGCCCCGACGCCGCGGGGATGGGACCCCCACAGCCGCCACTGGGGGTCCCGAGGTGGGCGCAGCGCTGCGGAGCTGTGGGGACCACGCGATGCTTTGGAGGTGTCCCCCCCGCGGGACCCCCCGTGCACCTGCCCGGGCCGGGGGGGACGGGGGGGGCGGCGGCAGCTCGGCGTTATCAGCGCGCTGAGCCCGACGGCAGCTCCGGAACGCCGCTATCTGAGCGCCCCGACGGCCCCTCGGCCAGGAATAGCGCGGCGGGAGGGGCCGAAGGAACGAAACGGAACGGGACGAGGGGGGGGGCCGACCTCCCGCCCCCGACCCCGCGGGCGGCACAAAGGGGGCTGTGTGCGTGGGGCCGCGCTCCGGCCCCGAACAAAGCGGCTCTGAGTTGGGACAGGGGGGGGACGCTGGGATTTGGGGGGGGGAGGTGGAGGGTCGGAGAGGCGGTGCGGCCATCGGTGGGTGCAGGGGAGGGGGGTGGGGGTTGGAACCCACGGAACCCCCCAAAAAACACCCCGTGGTTTCGGTGCTGTCGCGGTCCTCGCGTCCCCCCGACGTCGCGCCCACCCCGCGCCGCGCCCGCAGCACATGGCCGCAGCCGCAGCCCCTCCCGCTGCGCTCCCGCACGTTCGCCGCACCGCGCCCGGCCCCACCCCCGCCTTCTGCCCTCGATGTTTTCCTTTTGGGGTTGAAAAACAACACCCGGGTTCTGCCCGTCCTTCCGGGAACCGCGTCCCTGCTACCCGCTCCCCGGTGCGGCGCCAGGGGGTCCCGGAAAGGCTCCGGTCGCCTCCTCCCGGCCCGAAATATCCGCGGAGCTGCGGGGGCTGCAGGTGCCGCACGGGGGGGGGAGGGGGAAGGCGGGTTTCGGCTGAGGAAGGGGTGCGGGGGAAGCCGAAGGGTTTTACCGGGTGCGGACCCCCCTCGGCCCCCGGTGCGGGGTTTTTTCCGGGGTCGCGGCGTTGAGAATTGGGCGCGGGGACCGGGAACTTCCGTGGGTCCGTCCGCGCGTCCCGGGACGCAACAACGGCGCCCTGATTCCCGATAACCCCGAGCTCCGCCGGTGCCCGCACCGCTCCCGTGCCCCGCACATCCCGTCCCGGTGCGGTGCTCACCTGCCTGACCGGAGCCTGGCGCGGGGCTGAGGAGCAGCAGCAGGAGAACGGCGCAGAGCAACGCGCCGGGCCGGGGCATCCTCGGCGCCTCTCCGAGCGGCGCCCGGCGGTTGCGGCGTGCCCGGGCGAGGCGGGGGGAATGCACCTGGCGCGGGGCCGCCGGGGCGGGACGGGCTGGGCCGGGTGGGGCGGGGCGGGGGCGGCCCCAAAGCTGCGGGACGGCGGCAACCGGGGACCCCGCGCAGCACCCGGGGTCGGGTCCTTCCGCAGCCCCCACACCGCGTGGGGAAGTCGGGATCCCGCAGCCCTGCCCCGAAGGGGGGAGGGGGGGGGGGGTCAGGTTGCTGCTCCCCCCGCCTTGAGCTGAGCAGGATCCGGGGTGCGTCCCCAGCCGCAGCACAACACAGTCCTGCCCGCAGACCCCGCCCCCTCCCCACAACACCTCGCTCACCTGCACACAGCGCTGCGGAGCCCCAGCGCTGCCCACCCCCCCCCTTAGACAGGTAACACCGTGCAGAACAGGACAGGATCCCACAGGAGCTCCCTGGTGGGGTACAGCACCCCCCCCCCACAATCATCTCTGCAGAGGGGGAAAAAGGGCACTGCTCCCCTCCATGAGGGGGTGGGAAACCCCCCAGAACAGCCCAGGGAACCCCACAAACACCCACACAGAGTCCAAAGCAACCCCCCCCCCATGGAACACATAGGCACAGAGCCAGGTTTGGTCTCAAGTCCTTTATTCAGACTGAACTCAGGGACATTTTCAGCCCAGGGACATTTCCAGATATCTTCTCCTTACATGGGCTTGGGGGGAGGCCGTGGGGCTGCGCCCTGCAACACAAAAGCAGAAGGTCAGTGAGATGCACAGGGGGGAGGAAAACAGATCCCAACCCTCCCGGTGATCCCCCCCACCCCAAAACGCACCGCTGGCCTGAAGCGAGGCGGGGGGGTCCGGTCCTTGCGGGCCTCCCGTGAGCGGTTCCTCACCACCTTACTGTGGATGGCACAGCTGACGCAGTAGTGCAGCTTGACGTACAGCTTGGGCAGGACATAGGCTGCAAAAAAAAGGGGGGGGGGCAAAGAGGGGTGAGCCCCCACCCTGTGGGGAGGACAGCATCCCCCATACGGGGATGACGGGGGCACTCACGGGGCTGCAATGCCCCATTAACCACCGCTCCCCAGTGGGAATGCAGCACCACGCAGCTGTCAGTGCAGCCCCCACTCACTCAGGGCATAGACCTGTTATGGGGAGGGGGGAGTGGGAAACTGCAGCCCAGAGCCCCCCCAGCGCCCACCCCGCAGCCCTTACAGTCGAAGACGCTGGCCTCCGAGATGTCCCTGACGGCTGCAGCCTCCACAATGTTCCTGATGACGAATTTCTTGATGGCTTTGTCCTTGGGGACGCAGCGGGCGCAGTTGGTGCAGCGGATGGGCTGGACGTGGCCGCGGCCCTTCTTGGCACGGCCGTTGTTCCTCCTCTTCTTCGTCTGAGGTGGGATTGGGGAGGGG